AAAAGACCTCTATTTCCTGAAGCACACAGCTGAGGAATCCAGTCAGAGCCATGAAACCAGGCATGGGCAGAAGCTGCCACCTTGCTCCCAGCAGGGCAGGCACCAGCACACCCCAGCAACCTCTGCAAATCAAAAGCACACCTTGACCTTGACTGCATTTCCTGGCAGGACCAGCAAGGAGTAGGACTGGCTGTGCCCTGGCTCAGCCTTCTCTTTGCTTGTGTCTGCTGCTCCCGGGGCTTTTAACTGAGGAAGCAGAAAGGAAGAGAGGGCACATCAGCTGGTAACAGTTCAGAAACAGATGTACATTCCTGCACACAACTCCAACATTAGCAGATCCAATTACTTTGAAGCCCTGCTCTGCTCCAACTGTCTTATCCCTAAAGCCTCTCTCCTGCCTCTTATCTGTGCTGCTCCCTTGCTTTTGATTAGAATTTGATTTGGGAAGCACCCACCCTTGCTGCACTGGGAACAGGGAAACAAAGCCCACGGAGCAGAAGAGCAAGGTGAAGCCTTTGCCTTTGCAAAGGCATGTGGAGGATACACACCCCACACTTCTGCTGTGCAAAAGCAGTAAGGAATTACCCCCTATGTCACACCAAAGGCATGGAGAGGGGAGAAAATCAGCTTAATTACACCTGGCTACACTAGAGGCCATCCAACACTGGATGGAATTTGCCACAGGGATGTTTCTGGAAGGGGAGATGATGCTTTTCTGTAACAGTAGGCAGCGAGGAAGAGGATGACATTAAGCACAACAGCATCCTTCTGCTTCCAGTTTGCACCATTAGTGTGTGTCCCTGGCAGCTTCCACGACAGAGAGGAGCTGGAAGAGCAGCCTGAGCACACTGAAATGCTATCACCTTTGCTGCTGGGCACCCAAACTTTTCAACTTCCCTCGCTTCCTACTGTGGGCAGAGGGAGGGGGGCCAGGAGGTCCAATTCCAAACTCTCCCCTCTGCAGTGCACAGGGGCTGAAGGGTGACTTGCTGACCAAGCCCTGCCAGGAGGACAGCTGGACCACAGGTTTCCTACAGAGAATGAGAACTGTCCCCAAAGCCCAGTCTGTGTTTTCCCTTGTTTTCCTGTAATTTAGAAACCTTAGGAACCTGGAAATGGCAGCAGAACAGCAGCAGCAGCACTGAAGTAGATGCCACACTTAAACAGGCTGTTAAACTTTCACCAAAATCTATTTTTTTTTTATAGGGCAGGTTTTAATTCATAAGCTCTTCCCCACCCTGCTGTGGTAGCAGGGAGGATGCCCCCATCCCATCCTCCTTGGCCAGAGGTACCTTCATACCACTTGGCTCCCTCCAAACCTCCCAAACTCGTGCCCCTTCGGGACAGCCAGATCCTATTTCACCCCAGTCTGTGCACACCCAGACCTTGCTGCTCCAAGGGAAGATCTTTTCAGTGCTGTCAACACCCTACTTTAGCTCTTGCTGGGGTCTTGGTGACTGTAAAGAGCACAGACACACAGAGCAGCTCTGGAGAGGAGCTTGTAGACTTCAGCATTATGACACAGCCCCGAGTTTCACCATAAATTTCCCCTCACGAAGCCTGCCTGGTGCTAAAAAGCTTTGCACATTCAGAGGTTGCACACAGCAACAGCCTCCACAGGGAGAAATCCTGCCTTGCTTTGTCCTGCAAAAGCTCCTTCAGGCTCCTTGGCAGAAGCCAGGCAAGGAGCTGAGGCTGTTCATTGAGTTATTTAACACAGCCGTGGCACTCAGAGGAGCTGGGCTGTGCTGCACAGCCCAGAGGGGCACAGTTGGAGAGGCACAGGGAGCAGCAGCCACCTGGCTGGGCCAGGATTGTGCCACACAGCCATGTCCTTCAGCCACCGTGGCCAGGAGCTGCTTGTATGGGATGGGTTCAGTGAGTAACACAGGGACAAAATGCCTGGGCCAGCTGAGTGTTTTCAGATACATCCACACTGTCAGCCTTCCAAAAAAATCAGTCTCTAACCCCCGGAAAGACCAAGTCCCAGTGCATGGAAACACCTTCTTCCCTAGGTAATCAAGTCCTGCCTTTGGTGGTTATAGAAGAGCAAAAAGGAGGATGCAGAATCAATATAACACACATCACCAGGGTGAGGAGAGAGGCAGCAACAACCATCTCCACTTACTCTCCTGAGCTCGGCTGCTCTCAAACACAACCCAAACCCTCAGCCCTGCTCCCTCTCCCAGCAGCCTTTTGCAGGCACCTCCAGCACCTTTGGGCAGGGCACGCTGGGTGCTTAGCCCTGCATCCCAACAACCCTCCCGTGCTCCATCCATCCCTGCAAACCCTGCATCCCAGCTGCTCCCCCGTGCTCCGTGCAGCCCGGGCGGACCCACGGCGGCTCAGCACCCAGAACGCGGTGCCGGAGGAGCCAGCTCTGCCAGCTGGGAACCTGTCTGCTGGGAAACCCGTGCTCTGAGCAGCTCCAAAGCAAAGCTACCCCTCCAGTCTTCCCCTAACACAAGCCCAACAGCCCCCACGAGGGGTGTTTTGCCCTCCGAGGCTCAGTTTCACATCGGCGCCGCTACCGACCGCTGGTTGTTTCACTTACAGGGCAGGAGAGAGGCCGGTAACTCCAGTTCTCCCAGTATAAATGGTCTGAATGCCTTGGGGTCTGCGAGGTTGGCAGACACCTGGCAGCCCCAGCGGACCTCCAGGGCATGGATACAGAGCAGCTGCCAAACCTCAGCCCCAGCTGCCCAGCTCTGAACCCTCCAGGCACCTCGGCTTGGGGGTGCGAGCGGCGGAACCACCCGCCCTATCCCCCTCTCCAGGGTCTTAAATTGGATTTAAAAAAATAAATCTATTTGCAGAACTGCCTCCCTTTCCGACTTCTGTGCTGCACCTGAAAAACCTTTCCTTTTGAAAGCAAACACAGGCTCTCCCCAGGGGCTGCCTGGGGAAGTCTTTCCACTATAAACATTACCTACCAGTAGTGGAGTCAGCCCCAGGCAAGCCAAAATTCCTTCTCCTACCAAGGAACACTTTCCAATCAAACCAGACATTATTTTTTCCATTAATGGGTGTTGATACCTACTGGAAAACTCTGCAAAGAAATCCACTCCAAACTTAATTCTTCTGATACAACATCTAGACTCTACGAGTTTCTTTCGTCTTCCTTCCTTTTTATTTTTTAATTCTTGTTTTATTTCATTTCCCTGCCCCGTATTGAAAACACGATCTTTGTTGCTCAGGAATGTGTCTGTTCCTGCAATTTGGGCTGTGACTGAAATCAAGAGGTCCAAACCTGATTTTGCTCTGCCTGAGCTCCACGGAAGTAAGCAGAGTTTTCCCCACGTTTCCCCTGGTGTGACGGAGAGGGAAAATGAGATCCCTGCTCTTCTGCTTGATACACCAGAAACCCCACAGTTTTTATGCCCTGGGATGCCACAGCTGGATATTCTGGAGGAAAAGGTGTCCTCCTGCCTACCTTGGCTCTTTCTTTCCCAGAAAGTAGCTCAGAATTTGGCTGGGGGGTGGAGGAAATGGGGAGAAAACCAGCAGGCAGATGGGCTGTGTGGCCAGCATCGCCCCTCCGGGAGATTCTTTACAATCTAGTATCTACTTTCCAGAAGATTTTGGGCTCCACTGGGTTAGTCCAGGAGGGTCTTTCCATGCCTCCCACAAACAGGGGGCTTGAGGGGGGTTTCACCCTAAACCCCCACCTTTTGTAGAATCATTTTTGGTTGGAAAAGAGCTTGAAGTTCAACCACTAACCTCGCTCTACCCAGAACTTTCCCCCAGCTCAGCGTGCCCCAGGGGACCTCTGCCACCCGAGGGGACCAAGGAGGCAAGTCCCCCCACCACCTCCCCATTTCCCTAGGGAAGGAGGTTTGGAGAGGCAAGTGGTGCAAGGGGCAACTTGCAAAGGTGCAGCAGCAGGTTTGTGATAGGTGCAAAATAGTTTTGCAACAATGGGACACACCTTCTTAGGGGGGTACACTTGGTCTGGGCAAGCTACTGCTGCAACCTGGCCACGGAGCTGGGCTGGGAAGCTAGGAGACCAGCACCCCCCAAAAAAAAACAACCCAATCCCCTGGTGAGGAGGTTTCTCTGGAGGGGTGCTGCAAATTCAGCATCTAGAAGGAAGCAGAGTGCAAGGAGACCTCCCCAAAAATCCCACCCCCCCCCTGGCCAGCACCTGGGAGGGGTTGGAGGTGGGTGGTGGGGTGGGGGTGGTGGTCGCCTCGATTCTTTGATTCGAGGTGCATTCCCAAGATTTTAGTGAAGTGTAACATAAAACTGTGAAAGTTTAGCAGGGAAAAAAAAGCTTTCCTCCCACTGACCTGGCCGGCCAATCAGAAGGGAGCCCCGCACCTCCCTCACTTCTGACAACTATTTAGCAACTGAGCTCAGCTAAAGTTTCCAAAAAGTTAGAATAACTTCCTCTCTCCAAGACCTCACAATTTTTTTTTTTTGCTATTTTTTTTTTTTTCTCTTTGCACACAACCCTGGCTCCTTGAAATAAGAGCCCTCCAAGCAACCTGGAAAACGTTTGGTCAGCAAAAAAAAAAAAGAGAGAGAGAAGGGGGGGGGGGGGAAAAAAAAAAAAAAAAAAAAAAAAAAAAAAAACACCAC